ATTTGATACCCTAGCAAAAAAACTCTGTCGAAGAGGACAGAAGGTCTAATGGGAAACATAGGGTTTTTATATGATACAATTTAGAAGAGAAAAAATAACAAAAATATTATTTAACAAGCTAAAATCAAAACCTTACAAATAGAAAATAAGTTGTTTTATTTGTAACTGTACAGAAAAGGGCCTTCAGAAGCTAGTTTTTGAAACAATTACCTATATTAACAGTCGAATGTTTATAAAATATCAATTTTCATTATATGATAGAGCAATGAATCCTTACAGTTCCGATATATGTATAAACTAAGTACAGCCAAAACAGACCCACAGACACTCCTCATGGAGAGGCCAAATATTTGATCGAAATCATCATACCCTCTTTTTGCCGCGGTACTGGCAGCAGCAGAGACAGAAGCAGCCAAGCAGCAGCAAGAAAATTGTTCAAGAAAATTCTTATAAGAAATTAGCAAAAACGATGACGACAGCAGCAGCAGCAGCAGGCAGGCAGGCAGGCAACGGCAGCGACAACAACGATGCGATGCAATGCGATTTTGCCGTTAGCTTTTTCCCCTTTTTTTTGCATTTTTTTTTAGCGTCGCAAAGCTCAAGAACTGGCTGCCTGATTATGGAAAGAGAGAGACAGCGAGAGAGAGACAGTACAAAAAAGAGAGCAGTTGAGAGCAGCGCAAAGCCAAAGAGAGCGCTCATGGAGAGCAGAAAAGGCAGGCAAGGCGCGACTTGCAGTGAGAAAGAAGCAGCAATCGCGGCAGAGGGAGAGGCAGAGGGAGAAGCAGAAGCAGAACAGCAGCCCAAAGGAGAAAGACAATTGCAACAGAAGCAAGGCAGCGGCAGCCAGGCGACAAAAATGTCAAAGATGATTTGGCCAGCAATGATTAAATGTGTATTGGAGGATGAAAGTTCACAGTTTAAACACTTTGAAAAGCATTTGAAACAATTGCATTCCTCAGATTGTACATTCAGTGGGTCCAAAAACAGAGGTAGGCACTGCCCTATCACGTGGACATTAGCTTTATTGCCTGTAAAACAAAGAATCTATCAGCTAGCTTTTTTATTACGAAATTGTATGAAAAGTCCCAGAGTCCAAGACCCCCTTAGGCTTGTGCCCACTTTTCAGGCGACGAGTTTGTCGCCTGTGCAACAGTGCACGAAGAAGAGCATTCCTTCGACTCTCAGCCGGATGATAGTTCTCTAGCCCTTTTTCTCTCTTGCTGCCCACCGAAACAAACGAGACAGAGAGAGAGAGAGAGAGAATCAGTGAACGACAACAAAACACAATAATGCAGAGACAAAAAACAAGAGGCAGCGCTGCAGCAGCGCGGAAAGGGAGGCAGCGGTGGCCCGTCAGAAGAAGGAAAAAAAAAGAAAAAAATTTAAAAAAAATTATTGCGTTGTTCATAAATCAGTTGCAATTAAAATTAACTGGGGGAAAAAATGCAAGGCTAATTAGATTTGTGGACGAAGCCGGACCGTGCCTCCAAACCGGACACTGGCCGGCCACGATGCTGCGGGCTGCGGCCTGGGGCCTGGACTGCTGTTAAACGATGCCTTTAACAGCGTCGATATTTCGCTGATCGAAACCCAAATTATTTCAGAAAAATCTCTAAAAAGCGTCGGCTGGAAACGCATCGTGTAAGCGGCGGCAGCAGCGTCTCCGTCGCAGCTGACAAGCCGGGCCGGTAGGTAGCCGGCACGCGATTCGCTCTCTCTCTCTCTCTCCTGCAGGGCGTGGATTGCATTCGAGTTATTATTATTAACATTAGTATTATTATTGCATTCCGTCACATATTCCACACACACACACAAAAATAACACAAAACATTTTACATTCACTGTTGTAATTTCTTTTTGTATAATTTCGTTTTTTTTTTAGAACACGCGCGAGCGACGTTGACGTCTTTTGTTTAATAACAACAATAGAGCCGGGGTGGGGTTTTCCGACTGGGTAGATTGACAATAAGTTGCCAGTTTGTTGCTTTTGCAAGCACAAAACGGACGGGCAGGAGCGGGAAGGGATAGCATAAACGAAACACGCGCTTTTCCCCACAATACGTATACGTATACGTATACGTCACGTTGTGTCTCGCGCCTTTCACATTACGTATACGCCCTGTGGCATCGCCACCATTCACATTGCGTATTCGGCTTGCGGCAGCAGCACGTTGCTGCCACCGCTTCGAATCATCAGCTTCCAGCTCCAACTCCATGTTTCTGCCACTTCTCTTCTAACCCCACAAAACACGAGCGACTCTCGAGAGGCATCGTTGCCGTGTCCGACGACGTCTAAATGCGCACTAAAACATTTTTCCCGAGAAAAACACACGGTCCATGAAAACCAGAAGAGCCGGCACAAAACGGAATGAGATACAAAAAAAAAAAAAAAAAAAAAAAAAATCAAATAAAATGGCAAATGCCAAAATCCTTTTTTTTTTTTTGGCCAGACTCTGCCGCGGCGCTTGGCGTTGGTAACAGAGACGCAGCAGCCCAAGACAGTCGACAGTCGCTCTCTCTTTCTCTCTCTGTGTGTGTGTGTGTGTGTAGGTGTTCGCCGTTAGCAGCAGCAGCACGGATGAACGAACGTCAAATAGAACATGTGCTAATGAATTATCAACTGTCAGCAGAGTTTCCACGGAACAGCAGCGTGCAAAGTGCAAACACTCACGCGGACATGAATGAAGGAGAGAAAAAGGAATGAGGAGCGAGTAGTGGAGGAACAAGACGTGAATGGAAGCGACAGAGACAGAAAGAGAGAGAGGGAGAGGGAGAGGGAGAGGGAGAGGGTGGATAGCCTACTTATGTAGCATGCACATGGCTGGAAAAAGCAATGGCTTTCAATCGAGGATGATCCCAGAATGAATGCAAAAGATAATGAATAAGTGGGTTCACACACACACACATTCATTGAATGACCCATCCGATTCAGGATATTTTCAGAATAATCTCTGTGAATCTGCCACGCACAGTGCATGCACGTCTGAATTTTGCTTTTGCATTCTCGGCCATTATCGGGCATTCCCTTTTTGCGAGGCAGTTGATAGCAAGGACTTGATTTAGACGTTTCTTTCCACATCTGATCTCTCCGTCCTGCAGCAGCGCTCCTCGGTCGCTTTGGGGCTCAACAAATTTCCAAAAAAAACACCGTGAACTTTGTTTCAAAGATCTTCATCCGTATGACATGGACTCGCTGTAAGAATTTCCCCGCAAATGAGTTCTTTAAGTATCGTTTAATAATACCCAATAAAAGACGTGTTCTATCGCTTAAGTGACATCAAATGATTCAATTTAATGGACAAGCAAAGCAAATTGCGGATCAAATCAATGTGAATCGATATTCCAAGCGAAAACCCTACCAAAAACACAGCCATCGACAGACAGAAGGCAGCAGAGAGCGCATTCTCCAAATCATTTCATTTCATATTCCCATCTCTCATCGCTTGTCATCTCATCTCATCTCATTCCTATGCTCCATGCCCCATAATAACGTCTCCGCTCTTCTGTCCCTTCTTCCAGTTGTAAGAGCATACAAAATATGTTGCCTGCTTTTAGGCGCATAAACGCAACTTCTTTTTTTCCACGTTATATGCATTTCCCTGCATCTGTATGAGTGCCACACTGTGTCTGTGTATGTGTGTTTGTGTGGAAAGGTAAATGACATCAATGGAGGTTGGCTGGCTCCTCTAGGCCGATGCCGATGCCGCTGCCGCTGCCGTTGCCCCTGCCTCCTGTCTACGGCTGGGGAGGACTTTCTCTCTCCCTCTCTTTCCCTCTGGTGTTTACTTTTTGCTTGCATTTTGGTCTTCGCTTCCGTTTTGCTGCTTGCCTGCTTACAGTTTCCGACATTTGGCCAACACAAACACAAACGTAGGCGACAGCAAGGCCTATTCTGCGCGCGCCTAACTATATGCAATGATTTTTTCCTTCTCCTTGTTGCTCCCTGAACAAACCGCAAAAGGCTAAAGATGAAGGATGAAGGATGAAAGATGCTGGCCGGAAGGAAGGCACGAAGGCAAGCATTAAGCCACCAAGCCATCGGGCAGGCAGCCCCCCCCCTGCCTAATAACTAATCTCGACCCAAAATCCCGTTCGACCCGAGACCCCTTCCAATTTTGAATGCAATTTTAGACGGCAAAACTTTTCAAAAACTATACACATATACTATACATATATGTACGTAATTTGCCTCCCATTGTTTCACGATAGGAGAAATCAATGAGAATTTATTTTTGTTGCTGGAGAAACAAACTTTTTGGGGAACGAGAAGTACTTGTTAAGAGAGAGAGAGAGAGCGAGAGAGAGACGGAGAATTTGTTGGCCCCCTGCCAATTGAATATGAAAATGAAATATGAAAATTTATCCGCAATTGAGTTTTGGGGCAAAAAAGTTTTTTTTTTGGGCGATCCTCTTGAAAATACACTGGGGCAACTTATCGATTATTCGATTGCCATGTTTCGACAACAACTCAACGAAGAAGTTTGAAAGAGAGATTGGATTGCATTAAATGTAGGGATGGGGACAAAACAAAGCGATTACCCGGACATCTCGATTGTTAGAGTGGAATATAGACACGATTTCTACTACTTATCGAGCTATCGAATTATCGATAATTCTTATATCTTTATTTTATAGATTTGTTTGCCATTGCATATGATATTTTTTGATGACGATAACAATAAATTATTCAAGCAAAACTTAGTATTCAATAAAAAACGACTTTTAGGCATAAATTTAAAAAGATTTGAGTTCCCATTCATCGATCCCAACGATTAACAATCGCTTCATCGATAAATCCTCTGTACGACTAGAAAACCAAATATATTCCCCTGTTTATGGTAGGTTTACATAGTTCGGAATACCCATCTTCGATTGTATTGGATGTAATATATATATAGAGTTTTTCGAATTAAATTTTTTCATCGATATGTATCGATATGTATCGATATGTATCGATATGCATCCCCCCGAAAGGGCCAATAAAATGTGAGACTTACCGCTGGGATCGTGATGATGAGGTGGCCCCTGCTGCTGGCTGTGGTGCTGATGATGGTGGTGCGGATTCGGGGCACAGAAGGCACTCGACCCGCCGCCTATTGTCGGTGGTGGCACAATACCCGACGGCGGCGGGGGATAGGCACTGGCCCGGTACGAGGGCGGCGGCGATCCCACATCGCATCGATCGGGTGGCACTGGCACGGCCACAGGCACTGGTACCGGCACTGGCACCGGCACGGGCACTGGCAGTGGCGCCCCAGGCGGCGGTGGCCCGTAATGTGGCACCTGAGGCGGCGGTGGTCCTCCGTAGTGATGCGGCGGAGGTGGCGGCGGCGGACCGTGGCCGTACTCGGCCGCCTGCTGGTAGTGATGGGCGTGCGCCGCATGGGCGGCATACTGGTGCTGGTGATGCATGTGCAGCATGCCGCCGGCCCCTCCAGGGCCCAGTTGGTGGGCATGGTATGCAGCGGCTGCTGCGGCCGCTGCTGCAGCGGCGGCATACGAGGGTGGCGGCGGGCCATGATGCTCGGGCACGGCATGCTCCGTGTGCAGCCCCAGATCGGGGGCATGGTACATCCCGGCGCTCAGATGTTCGCCAGGCAGCAGAACATGCGGCGCTGCCGGTTGAATGGGCAGCGGCGGCGAGCTATGAGCTGTAATGGAGGCGGTAAATGAAGGTTACTCCGGTTTATGGCTGCACAAATTTCCCATAAACGAATGGACACGAATATTTTGACGAGCAACGGAGTAAAAAGATATTTGAAAAGACTTCTTGCAAACATTTATTAAATAACGTAATGTTTTGGGCTTTTCGATGAATGCCAAGGTTTTAAGATTTTAAGCCAAATCCGAGGGCATATTTGAATTGGAATCCAGTGGGATTTTAGTAGATTTTACTTCCTTGGAAAATGCCCAAGAAATGTCGATAAGAAACGTCCAATATTCCCTACTATTATGTGGCACAAATACAACCAGTCGAACCAGGAATATAGTGCTTTTTCGCAACAGAAAATCAGCTGTTTTTAAGAGCCAGTCACGTGTGAACGTGGAATGAAACAATCTGCGCTGGTGAGTGTCTAATCTTTCATTTGAGGGCAGGAAAATCTGCCGGGGTTTGTAATCTTTTGAGCTAATGGAAGAGGATTCCGAGTAGGAATGGAAATGGGCTTGGGTTTGGGGGGTCGGTTGAATGGATATCTGGGGGGCAATCGCCACTACTCACCCTCGCTGAGGCCAGAGCTGGCGCCGGGCGGCAGCATGCTGGAGAGCGCACTCAATGGCGTATACGATTTCGGTGGCTCGACGGAGCCGGGCCGCAGGACACGCTCCTCGGTGACGCTGGACTGGACACGATATTGCATTTTGCAGTAGGCCTCTTGGGCCGCACCATTGCTGGCATTCACATAGACGCCCGTGATGGTCACATCGGTGTCCTGGACAATCACAACGCTGGAGGAGGTCGGTCGGCTGCAGTCCTTGGCATCCTTGGTGCTGCTCGAGTCGCGGTAGCCGCCGCCGGTGGTCGTGCTGCCGGTGGTTGTCGTCGCGTCCGTGTTCGTCTCCTTGGTCTCCTTCGAGTACTTGGAGTCGTTGCTCTCCTCGATGAGGATGTGACTGCTCGGCGGCACCTTGTCCTTGAGGGATGATTCCCTTAGTTCTCTCTCGCGTTCTCTTTCGCGCTCCCTTTCGCGCTCCCTCTCCCGCAGGGATTCCTTGGTCTCCTTTGGCTCCTTCTTGATGTGCATCTCCGTTTTGATCGGCATCATCTTGGTGGATTGCTGGACGACTGCCTGCATCTCCAGCTCGTCGTAGCTCTCGAAGCTGCTGCAATCACTGGCCAGATTCTTGTCCAGATGACGCTCCACCTCGTAGGTGGCCGCCACGATGGCGCTGGCATTGAGGCTGGCCATTCGCTTTCTGGCCAGGATCCCCTTGTAGTCGCCAATCAGCTCCTCGGTGAACGGTGTCTTTCGTTTCTTCGGCACTTGCTTCGGCGGTGGCTTCGGTTTCTCTGGCCTCTTGGCATCTGCATCGCTGCTGCTTGGTGCCGCCGCCGCTGCCGCCGCCGCCGCTGCCGCTGCCGCCTTCTTTGGTGGCGGCTTCTTTTGGAGCTTCTTTTTCTTGGGTTGCGGCAGGGCCGGCAGCTGCATTTCATCCCCCTCGCTATCGCTATCGAACTCCCAGTGCTTGCCCACGCCCCTGCCGCCGGGCACGTACCGCAGCTCCCGTCGGGGCTCAATCTCTTTCGGCGGTGGTGGTGCTGGTGGCGTTGACGGTGTCGACGAGGACTCTTTGTCTTTGTCCTTGTCCTTGTCCTTGTCCTCTCCATGGCGCGGCGACTCCTTGTGGTTGTTGTCGTCATCGCTGCCATCCAATGTCCGTATCCGTGGCGGCTGTTGTGTTGCCTTCGAGAGCCCCAGCTCGTGGGCGGTCCGCGATTCATTCTCGTAGAGGCACTGCACCTTCGCCAGGGCATTGAGGGAGGCCATGCGATGACGCTTGGGGCCGCTGTAGGCGCTCAGCTTCCTCTCGTCCTCGGAATCGCTGCTCTCCGCAGAGCTATCGCTCGCGGGGCTATGGTTGGCAGCGGCTGCGGCTGCTGCCGCTGCTTGTGCGGCCTTCGACGCTGTGGGTTTCTTCTTTCCGGGCGGTGCCTTAGGCGAGGGTGACGAGGATGTTGCCAGCTTGCGTTTCGCTTGCTTTTTGGAGGTGGCTGCAGCACTGATCTTGGTGGCGGCTGCGGCACTGATCTTGGAGGCGGCTGCGGCACTGGTCTTGGCGGCGGCTGTGGCACTGATCTTGGAGGTGGTTGTGGTTGTGGCTGCTACTGGTTCGGACTGTGCTTCTGCTGTGGATGCTGATGGCTGTTCCACTTGCTTACCTTTCTCTTTATCCACCTCCTTCTCCTCCCCCTCCTCCTCCTTGATCAGCTCTTCCGCCTTGAGCTTAGCCTCCTTTTCCTCCTTATCCTCCTGCTCTTCCTGCTTCTTCTCGTGGTCTTCATTCGGTTTCTCCTTGGGCTGCTTGAGCGGCTTGTTGTCCTCTTCGGAGAATTCCCGCAGCTGCTTCAGCGCTGGCAGCACCATCTTGATGGGCTCCTCGTCCTCGGAGCCCGACTTGAAGTCGTAAATATCCTTGGCACCCGCTCCGCCGTGGCCCCACGAAGGCATTGCCTTCTGGTTAGCCCCGCCTGCACCCTGCTGCTGCTGCTGTTGCAGGCGAACCTTCGATCCCGCCGAGGTTTTTGTGTACTTGATTTTCGGCCGCTGTTTTGCAGCCGCTGACGGTCCAGGACTCTCCACGGGCGTGGGTGTCGCTATGGGCGTTGCTGTTGGTGTGGGAGTGGGCGTGGGTGTGGGAGTAGGCGTGGGTGTGGGCGTGGGCGTGGCTGTTGGCGTTCGATTTGGTGTCGGTGTCCGTGTCCTTGTCGTGGCTGTGGCTGTGGCCGTGCCAACAATCTCCTCCAGCTCCATATGCACGGGCTCCGTATTTGAGTCGGGCAGGCGCTGGGACGACGGATTCGACGCCTTCTTCGTGGCCTTGAGCACCTTTGCCGGGGGAGGTTTCGGGTGCTGCTCTGGTGCCATCGGGGCTGCTGCTGTTGCTCCTTTCTTGGCTGGCATCTTGCCCTGTTTTGTGGCAGGTGTTACAGAAGCAGCAGCCGCAGCAGCTGCTGGCGTCGTGGCTGGAACTGCTGTTGCAGTCACTGTCTCCACCTTTGTCTTCTTTGCGCTCGTATGCGTTGCCTTTTTGGATCCTTTCGATCCTTGAGATTCCTTGGCATCTGTGGCACCATCGATGGTGGAGTCTGGTTCCGTTTTGGTCTCCGGCTTTGGCTTCTCCTTGCTGTCCTTCTCCTTCTCCGGGGAGGGACGCGGCGGCCGCTTCACGGGCATCGTTTTGCCCGGATTGAGGCTGGCTATCACCTTGACAGCGGCTGCCCGCGACTTGGTCTTGACGTTCTCCGAAATGGAGGACTTGGAGATGGAGCCCACGTTCAGGGGCCCCTCACCGCCGGGCAGGAGATTGTCGAATCCATGGATCTTGATGTCCAGATTCTTGAGCATCTTGTTGATGGCCCGCGCCTTGCCATCCTCCTGCCGCTCCTCGGGCGAGAGCTTGGGCGTTGTTTGGGCGCTCGACTTGGAGCCACTGCTGGTGCTGCTCTCTGTGGCTGGTGCTCCTCCACCTCCTCCTCCTCCTCCTCCTCCTTGTGCTCCTGCTGAAGGATCCTTTGTCTGCCTCTTGCCCGATGCTGATGCTGATGCTGACGCTGACTTCTTTTCCTCCGTCTCCTCTGTGGGAGCTTTCGCTTGTTTCCCCACCCGCTTCTTCCCCGTCGTTCCGGACGCACTTGACGCTGGGGCAGATGTTGTTGCTGCTGCTGCCGCTGCTGCTGCTGCTGCCGTTGCCGTTGAGCGTTGGACACGCTCGGCGACGCTGGAACGCTTCTTCGAGACCATCTCGTGGGGCTGCAACGAGAGCGAAAGGGCATAAATAAAGGGCGGGACACAAAACAAATACCGACAAAATGCATACCGACTAGGGGCATACCCTCTACGCAGAAAGAGAGAGAATTTCATTTATTCTGGACTACCTTTTTTGCCTTCTTCATTCGGACAGACAGAACGAATGATGACAAGGGGAACAGGGTACAAAAAAAGAGGAGCATATGGGGAGGGGATGACTCTGCTTCACACACACACACATGCTCCCTCTTTTTTCTCTCGTTTATTTAGTTCAAGTGTCCGCACGTGACAAACAAAACGGGAATGCTCGCTAGAATGTTCCTCGAAGGGGGGGGAACTCCTCTCTCTCTCTCTCTCTCTCTCACTCTTTTAAAGATAAAAATAAAGAAGATTCTTCCCCTGAAGGGGGCAACGCATTTGGGAGCAATGGAATCCTCATAATTCGTATTGAAAAACTTTGAAAAGTCCACTTGGAGTATTTTCGAGTTCGAGAACAGTCTATTCCATGAAACGGTTAACGGTTAACAGTCAAACGGTACAATGCTTACCTTTCTCACTCTGGCTTGCTCGCACTCACTGGGCCGCTATGGCGACTGCGACTGCGGCGGCAACGACGACGACGACGTTGACTTCGACGTCGATGGCCGCTGCTCTGCTGCTGCTGCTGCTGCTGCTGCTGCTTCTGCTGCTGCTGCTCAGCCACGCAACGGCACTCCTGGGCATCGGCAATGGCGCTGGATACCGTTGAACGATACCCATTTGGCGCTTCAATCGGGAAGTCGGTTAACCCGCTTCCCCAAACCCACACACGGAAATATTTAAATGCACTTTTTACAAACTTTTTTCGCTGTTTGTTTATTGGTTTTTATTTTTTTGTTTGTTTGTTTGAATTTGTTTTCACCGTTTTGTTATTATTGCAATTTTTGTTGCATTTTGTTTGATTTCCACAGCGGCCTACAATATGTATACAAGTTAGTGTGTTGTTTTGTGTGTGTGTGTGTGTGCAAATAAACATTAACGTAAACAATTTGATTTCGTCACAAAAATTATGCACAACGCACACAGCCGCACGTACGCGAACGCTCACACACACACACACGCGCAGAAGGAAATCCCATTCACACAGGCACACACACTGAAAGAGAAAACCAATTCGAACGACACACACATGCATACATGCACATGGACAAGGTATATTCAATTTGAATGTAAGGCAATTCCCGTTCTTTCTCTCTCTCTCACTCTTTTTTTCTCTCTCTGAATCTACATAAATTATGCTACTTAACAGAGGCCGCACTTTCGGAGTAACTTTACTATTTAGCCAGTGTTTTTAGCTTTTCCACCTAAACAAGTTTTGTCTCTCGCTCTTTTCTGCTGGCTTACTCTCCCATTAATGTACCTTGCCTAAGCACACACACACACACACCGTCCCACAAACAGGGCGCGTTTTCCCCCAAAAACGTTCATTTACACATTTTTTGTTGTTGTAGTTTCCAGTTATTTTCTCTTCTCTCCTCTTTTCATACAGTAACAGAGGCTACCACAGCCCCTCTGTCATCCATCCCCCTCCAATAGCAAGCAACACCATAGAGGCTGGGCCTCCCTCCCTCTCACACATACACACCCACAAACACACGCGCACCCGCACCCCCCTCTGTCGACAGTCAAAAAGAAAACGCTTTGGCGTGCCACACACAAAATGATGCAAACATTTTCCCAATTGGCATTCGATTAAGCCAAAAATGAGATTGTAAATGCGAATACGAGCGCCACCAACGCCACGATTCATCAATGCCGATTGTCCCTTACATTTGTAATCTTCAGAATCGGCTATAATATCCGCGCGAACACGCACTCGATAAACAAATCACAAGAAAAAAAATAAATAAACCAGCCAGTGTGACCGCGGATTTATGTACCGTCTGGCCCTCAGAAATATACCGAAATACTGTCTCATTTTCAAAAAATATACCGAAAAACTTAGCCCACCTAACCCCCCCCTGTTTGAACAGCTGAACAACTAGAGTTCCACCGCGGACAATTACACTGTTCTTCAAATTCTTCCTTTATATCCATCGTAACCTATATCTGCACTGCGCTGAAATACTTCAAGTTTCAGTATAAACACGGCAATGTGTGAGTCGTTCTCTGTCCATTATTGGAACTCCTATTCCTCGATTTTGATATTCGGTTAAACTTCACTCGCTGACTATGACCCGCAGCCGTGAGCACGTTTCATCCGATTGATTAATCAATTTCCTACTAGATTGGTTTAATTTGAGGAATTTTTCAAAGGGTGGGTTATAAAATATGGTTTAAATAAAACCGGTCAACCAAAATGTTAATTTTGTACACCAAAACTACACGGTAACTACACATTTGCTACATATCAACTACATATTTATGGATTGTGGTATTCTCTTTTTGTAACTCCTTTTGCTGTTCCTCTTCTGCTGTTATCTGCTGTTCATCTGCTATTGATCTGCTGTTACTGCTGTTGCTCTTCTGTTACTCTACTGATTTTCTCGTTCTGCTGTTTATCTGCTGTTACTCTGCTGTTACTCTGCTGTTTGTCTGGCTCTGCTGTTGACTGCTGTTACGCTGCTGCTGATCTGCTGTTACTCTGGTGTTACAGCTGTTGCTTTGCTGTTACGCTGCTGCTGATCTGCTGTTACTCTGCTGTAGTCTCGTTCTGCCGTTTTTCTGCTGTTACACTACTGTTTGTCTGGCTCTACTGTTTATCTACTGTTACCCTGCTGTTGACTGCTGTTACGCTGCTGCTGATCTGCTATTTCTCTCGTTCTGCTGTTTATCTGCTGTTACTCGCAGCTGATCTGATGTTTACACATTTATTCAAAAGTGAACAAGCAAAATAACCGCCATGGACCCAATCATGGAGTGGCAGCATTTGCTTGTGCGTCTCGATCGGCTCTGTTAAGTCTACAGAATGTGACGATTGACTGATAACATCATTTTGTTTAGATATGTAGGTTTATGTAGCATAACTACTCATAAACAAAAGGACAAAATGCACTGGCTACAACAGTATTTGAACTTTTCAGGTTGCAGCATCTCTGGCTCTAATCCCATTCGCTTCTTGACCAAACGACCCGAGTACGGAGCACCTTCTCGATGGACGCCAGCAGGGCAGTGTCCTGTTCAAAGGCCTCTTTGAATCCATCGGCTACCTCACGGATGACCATCAGCGTCTCGCAGTACAGATTGCAACCCTGCTTATCGAACAGATCCACATCCCCATCCTCCCCCAGGGAGCCGTGCTCCTGGACGGGTGTCTCCTGCGCCATCAGCAGGAACGGCTCCACAATGATATTAAATAGGCGCAGCAAAAAGCCGCTGTCGCTGCCGTATCTTTGAAGGCTGGCAATGAAATGCCTTAGGAACTCTGTAAACACTACGTTGGCGAGAATCTTCTTGGGCTCCGGCTGCGGGTGCAGTCTTTGCCGCAACATCTGGTCGGCCATCACGGCCGCATCGTTGCGCAGTCCCTCGTCATCGTCCACCAGCAGGAGGAGCACCAGGCGCGCAAAGCGGCCGAGGATCTCCACATCGCCTAGGCAGAGCTGCTGTCCGATTTCGCTGCCAATACGCTCGCACAGACCGATGGCCTTGTGCCGCAGATAGACCGGCTGTGTGGCATAGCTTAGGATCTGTGCGTACTCCAGGAGGAGTACCCAGATGGGCTGCGACAGCTCCGCCTGGCGGTCCATCAGCCGCTTGATGGCTAGCACCAGGCCAAAGTGGACGTGAGCGGCGCTGTTCTCCAGCCCGAGCTCCAGCAGTCGTCCCAAGTCAATTATGGGATCGATGGGAAGCAGCAGCTGTAGGATCCCAATGCGGCCGGCGAGCTGCAGGCTCCAGCATTTGGGCGGACCCTGCTGGCCCCATTCGTACATCCGGCGGAGGCAGACGTGCACCGACGGGGACGAGGCGATGCCACGGGCCAGCTCCTGACGCTGGTCGGGTGTGAGGGCCTTGTGGTAGCGCACAATGTCGCTGGAAAAGCTCAAAACCTTGACGTCCCCGGCATTGACCAGATCGGAATGCAGCGGCGGCAGGTCCTGCAGGACCACGCACAGCAACAGCTCGCCGTTCAGCTCCTCGATCGCCATGGGCAACGGCATTGGTCCGCTGAACTTGCACAGATCCTCGACAATGTGGCTCATGGCGGCCCCACGACTGCGGTCCAGTCGGTGCAGATGGAGCCCAAATATCTGAAAGATCTTCGGCGAGAGGCGCTCCTTTTGGCAGCGGCTGTAGATCCGCCCAGGCGTCAGCTGGTACACCTGCCGTAGCTCGACCATCACCTCCTCGTCCAACTGTCCTGGCGCCACATCCTCCAGTATGGCCACCAGCACCTCCAGCATCCCATTGAACAGAAAGACGCTTCGGTCGAGCAGATCGACTGCCACTTGTGGCAGTGTCTTCAGCATCATTCTGACCAGATTCGGGCGGCTCCAGCGCAGGCGTCGGTACAGCTCCAGCATGAGCAGCTCCTGGCCATGGATCCGGTTGTGCCTCAGGATAGGAACATCTTTAAAGGCATCCCCTGGCGAGGGTGGGGCCTGCGAAAACAAATGTTGGGAGGAATAAGATGGAGAAAGATCATCAGTTGAAATCTTTGAGAAATCAGAAGGAACGCAGTAATCACGAGAGATTTATGAGCAAACAGAAGGAGAAGGGAGAAGGGAGAAGGGGCAAGGGGGAGCAGAAAATGTAGGATAATCGCCCCATAAACGCCAATAAAACCACTTACGTTTAATCGTCCATGCAGCACCATCATTTGCACTAGGAGGTGCCTCATCCGGACAAAGGCATCCCGGTCGTCCACAAAAATGCCAACCACCGCCGCGGCCTTCTCGCGGGTCAACACATCCGCACAGAGGCTGATCTTCAGCAGATCTGGCACAAAATTGCTGAGCTGCAAAGAGCGAAAATGTGGAGTCGAAAGAACGTTCAGTGGTGGAGATGGGGCCTCACCTTCAGTGTGGACTCGGCGCCCTCCAGCGACGAGGGATAGAGGCGACTGAGCAGCATCAGCATGCTCTGCAAGTGGATCTTCTGTACGCCGTTCAGCGCCCTAGGCCCGAGGGCGGCCTTGGCCAGGCCCTTGCTGAAGTAATTGTACAGCTCCGGGTAGCGTGTGAAGAATATGCGTCCCGTCATCCGATTGCGTACGTGCAGCTCGCCAGCGTCATCGCGCGGCCGCTCTACACCGAAGACACGGACGACGAGCGTGGCCAGCAGCAGGCTGGCACTGTTCTGCTCCGCCCAGTCGGTGGCCAGCAGACCGTCCAGCGTGCAGATGATGCCGCGCGCCACAAACTCTCCCACCAGATCGGCCAGCTCGCTGCTGCGGAAGAGGGCTCGCATTATGTTGAGCGCATGGCAGCGTGCAGCGCCTCCTGCTGCTCCAGCAGCACTGTCGCCCCGTGGCGTCTCGCACACCTTCAGCAGACGGTTCATGCAGCGATGCAGGGTGTTGTGGGTGCCCAGCTTCAACTCCGAGCAGACGAGGGCCTGCAGCATGTAGGGTATGCCGGCACTGCGACGCGTGGGGCACAGACGAGACTGGTGGTGGTGGTGCTGCTGCTGCTGCTGCTGCTCTCCCTGGATCATGTCAAGAGCCTCGTTCACCCAGGCGGCTGGCAATTGATTGAGCGCGGCCGCATCACTGTGCCAGAAGCGGCGGCAGAGCATGCTGAAGCCCACATACGCCTGCTCGAAGGCGCCGCGATGCTTAATCTCGGCCAGAAGCAACAGGAAATGATCTCCAATGGCCGTTAGCTGACTGCCGCTCAGCAGATACGTGTGATCGTCCTTCTCGGCCTGCTCCTGCTCGAGCGGCGAGCGCTCCACTAGACCGCCCAGTATGTTGGATACCTCCTTGATGCTACGCCATGCACAAAGCAGCACCATCTGCGGTGTGGTTTGAATCTGGCGCAAGGCCTCGGCATCCAGGCGCCGCCTCAGGACATTGGTCACCTGTTGGTCCGTCTCCTGGTCACTGGCCTCCGGCAGGTAGCCCTCGGGCGCCACACTGCTCACCACCGGCAGCACCACCTCGCTAATGGCCATGCACACATCGACCAGCTCCTGCACATACCGCCGCCAGAGGGGCTCCCTGGCCAGCTCCTCCATGGCAAGCAGCTCGACGAGGTGGCGACTGGCCAGCAGCAGGCCATACATGGGACTCAATTTGGCCCCCTCTGCGAGATTTGTGGTGGCCAGGGCCAGGGCCTCGCGCAGCGGTTGCAGGCACCACTGCAGGGCCGCATAGATTCGCGGCTGATAGCGCACCCCCCCCTCGGGTAGGGACAGGGGTGGGGGTACGGCCGGTACCAGCTGCGTCTCCACCTGCTGGGCCTGGCAATGCACTTGCAGGAGATAGGCGCCCGTCAGCGAGTCGGGGGGACGCAACGACTGCAGCAGCTCCATCACTCTGTCCGGTACGATGCGCGAGCATGGCTGCAGCTTGATCAGCAGCTGGGCGGCCAGCAGTTTGTTGTGCTCGTAGCTGTCCCACAGGCATGCCTCGACGCGTTCCGCCTGACTGGCGGTCAGTATATCGCCCATGGGTATGTCCAGGCGGCTGCACAAGAGCGTACAGCTCTGGAGGAGTCGCAGCGAGAGCCAGCGGCGTCCATAGTTGGCCGAATGAAAGAGATTGTCGGCCAGCAGGGCCATCAGACTGCGAAGATAGGCCATTTGATCGGCTCCTGTGGCGCTGGGACGCTTTCTGTGCTCCGCCAGGCAGAGTTCGATGCGTCGTACCACCTTCAGCATGTGGCCAAAGCCCAGCTGTCGTATATGGGCGCTGGGATTGTTAATGTTGTGCTTCAGATAGAAGCCAATAATCGCACGCTCCTCGGCGCTGACCGGCTCACTGGGCCGTGCGGCCGCGCCCACAAAGCGCAAGGTAAGCAGCCGCAGATGATCGTCCTGCCCGACTAGGGCCTCCCGCAGCCTCTGGCTGTGCTCCACGAGCAGGACCTGCCGCAGTTCGCTGGACTCTTCGTTGCGTGCGCTCAAGATGGCCGTCAGGGTGGTGCTAAAGGGTACGGACGTGTCGGGCTGCAGCCAAATGTGGCGCAGCGTTTGCGGCTCCTCTTTGACGGCCTGTGTGATCAGCCCCTCGATGGCTGAGAGCCGCTTCCTGTTGTCCTGGGTGGCCTCCAGCAGTAGGTCCAGCCACTGCTCGCGCCAATCCTCGAAAGACTGCTCCTTGCGCGAGGCCACCATCATGGCTGTGTGGGAGAGGGAATGAATGAGAGAGGGGAGTTGTGTGGGCAGAGAAATTGATTTGCTCACCTCTGAAGAGCGAATCGACGGCATCATCCACGCCCAAGTACTTGGGAAATACGCTACCAAACAGGCTGGGGCAATGCCTGATGGCCTCGCGTGCCCCCTGAACGCCGACAAGTTTCTCCACTGCCAGACAGCCCGCGGCCAGGCTGCCGCCATCCTCGAATCGCACATAGACCTCTTCGAAGAGCCCCGCCAGCCCGCAGGCCTGGCCATGCTGCAGGATCTGCATGAAGATGCCGCCGCACATGTGACGCACCGAGTCCGTGGCACTGCAAATGTTGGCCAAGGCGAAGCGCTGCATCGCATAGAGGATCCGCTCGTAGCCCTGGCGCTGCGGACCAGCCGAAAGATGAGCCACTGGCGCACCCAGACTCTTGGAATAGCCATGGAAATGCTTGGCCATGTAAACGAGAACATTGTTGGCACTCCCCTCCTGCGCCGTGAGGTCCATCAGGCGATCCACTATGTCCGCCGCACGGCTGCCATATCGCTGATAGTCCTCGGGCAGCAGGACGTTCAGGGCTGCCGCCTGTATGGGCAGGTACTCGATTGGCATGGCCTTGGACCACTTGTCCAGATAATCCTCGAAACGATCAAAGAATCGGGTATTTTTGCCAATCACTAGGCCGGCAATCGAGCGCACATCCCACGGGGTATCACTGTGACGAGCCACCTTCTCGGCCACCACTTGAACTAGCAGGAGGGACGCCCCGCCCGCCAACTGGGCGCCCCACTCGGACAGCACGCCCACATGGAAGCGCAGCACATTCTGCACAAACAGATACAGTTCGTTGAGCCGCGTGGGCGATAGCTCCAGGACAGCGCTATTACTGCAGGGACAGAGGAGCACATTCTTAGCAGATTGAAGCCAAAGCTAAGCCGGGACCCAGCTGGGACTCACCTGATGTCCAGCCAATAGCGTTCCAGGGCCATGCTCAAGAGCGGCAAAAAGCTATGCAGCTCATGGCCCAGGGCCTCCCGGCCATAGGCGAAATTCTGCAGACACGCATTGGCCGACACGAACACATCGTTGACCTGGTCATGGGTCAGCGGCTGAGGCGGCTCTGTGGCCGAAACCGTGCCCGCCATTTCGCGCAAGGCCTCGCGCAGTGCGGCCACCAGTTGTGGCTTGGTGTGCTGTGGCTGGCCCACCTGTTTGGCCAGAGCCTGGTCGGAGAAGAGCCTGCCAGCGGAAAGGGAAAGGGGTATTCATTCATGGTTCGTTTCTTTCTGGTTTAATTCGTACTTGATCAACTGATTGCGCACAGAGTGCTTGAGGGGACTGGCAAGGAGCACACTGGCCAGAAACTGTTCCACGGCCAGACGACGATCCTCCTTTCCCTTTTCCTGTTCGTGCTCCTCCTCCTGGGGCTGCTGCACGTGGGATCCATGGAACAATGTCCGAATGACGTTCACCTGCTCTGCACTGCTGGAGGCCGTCGCAAACTGCTGCACAAAGCTGTGGGGCGCTGAAACAGACCAAACTCTGGCATGTGGCAAGTATAGAGACGGCTGATGCGGTGGTGGCTACTCACATGCCTTCCACTTGTTGGGCACCGGCACGAGGGCGTCGCGCAACTCCGCGAAACGCTTGGGATGGGAGCACAACTTGATTGCGGTTACGCGTAAACTTAAATCGTTCATGGTTCTTTCTACTTTTTAGAAAATATAACAGGAGCACGGTTAAACATCAAATTAAATCCAAAACACGCCGGGAGCAACAGCTCCCTGTTGCTTGGCAGCACCACAACACTGTAAATAAACTGTTCATGTTGCATCATATTCCTCGATCTTGATATTCGGTTTAATATTACTAGCTAGCCAGGACCCTCAGCTCTCAACTTATAATTTTAACCGATTGATGAATTCATTTCCTACAAGATTGGTTGGCTTTAAGCTTTCATCTTTATTGGATTGTTTGTAAAATAAGGTTTAGCCAAAAACGGTCAACAACAATTAAAACTAACTTAAGTTTTGTACATGGTAACTACAGCACAACTACACATTTGCTACATATTAACTACATTTCCTGAAGGGGAAATGTGTACGTTTCAAAAATTTTAGCCGTTTGCGCCAGTGTAAAAAACCTCCGCTTTCCGCATTGGACTGGCTCTTTTGCGACATTTTTGAAAAATTGAGGTTTTGATAGCAAACGATCAGAAATTTGATGCTGATCACTGATCCCGAATTAGTATTCGATGTGGCCTGGGACATGGCTCTTAATGGTATTTATATACAATTTCTACATTAGGGCATTGGGCAAGATGGGAGTCAAAACGCGTCTTAACAATACTGAATGGTACTAGAAAATACCAGGAAAAGTATTAATGCGATTCCGATACCGTGAGCTTATAAAATATATAAATATTATATAAACGACGTCATAAAAGTATAATACCATAAAACTCAAATGAAATTAAATCTAAAACTCCCCAGGAGCAACAGGCAGCACACAGCACAGCACAGTTAATTGCGTGCTGTCATATTTATCGCTGGTAATTATCGAAATATAATACCAAATATTTGGCGGGTTGTTTAAACAATAATCGTAACTTTGGCCAAATTTAGCCAAACACCTAAACTATATTTAAAATATTACCACAAATATGTCCACTTGTTCGCTATGTGGAAGTTCGACTGTATCCCCTGTCCTTGCCCCCTTTTTTCGGGGGAAACATATGCGGAAAAAATACCTCCTCCACCAAAAAATATCAAATTAACCGTTACAGTGAACAGTGCTGCCAATGGAACGCAATACCAGAGTGAGGGAAGCACTGTTGCCCTTCCTCCAACAATAGCAGGGCAAAGAGGTGGCAAGCAGGATGCTTAAACCCTACAGATACCACGGATACCTTGAATGTGGTGGAAATCGGATAGGCAGGGATATGTAGGGCAGAACGCGTACGTAAACGACAGCACCACGTGACTCCTGTCTGGAGTTGCGTCAATCTATGAGTCGAAACACATAATCAGCCATGTGCCAGAGTCCTGGAAGCGACGATTACGTGAAGGGTGGGTTTTAAGACCAACAAATTAAGGCGTAAATAGAGATTCGACTGTTAAGGTTTTTTTTTACAGTAAATAAATCTTTTTACTTTATTAGGGGTATTTTAGGGGCGGGGGGGCGTTGGCTGGGGGACTATATGAAAGAACTCTCGTTGGCATTCCCATTGGAGGCAGCAAACTGCACCAACGCCTTGATGCGTCGCAACAGTGAACCATTGAAGCCCTTGCACTTGACCGAATACTCTTCACTGGCGACGATCAGCTCCGAGCAGAAAGTCTCGTTAAAGGTGGAGATCAGATGCTGCTTCAGCTGAAGGATTTCATCGGGGGTGGCATGCAGCACGGAGACGCTGTCGTTGCCGCTGGAACTCTCCAGATTGCTCTCGTTGATGGCACTGCGATTCTCGCTGGCAAATATCACCGCATTACGCATATAAAAGTCCAAGTGAATCCACAGCAAATACAGATTCTGTTCGGCTATAAAGACGGCTTGCATCAGTTCGTTGCGCTTCTCCTTGTGCCGCTGGCTGAGCTCCACGTAGCTTTCTTTACCTGCAAAAATGGGTAGCAGTGTGAGCCAATGTTTGGGACCAGGGACCAAGGACCAGGGCCGTGTACTTACCGCTCGGGCCGAAGCAGATGTTTGGCAGCGAGGAGCGCTGCTCCAGCAGGTTGTCGGCATGCGACTTCTGCGAATGGTAGTAGCCCACGGAGCCCTTCAGCTGTTCGATGATTGTGTGCATAATGGCCGTCAGCTTCTTGCCGTCTGTCCTGCCAGTCCTACAGAATGGCAAAAGATAGAGGGCGTGTGCCTTTGGTGGATTATTCAAGCAGAAATCACAAAAAACCAGTCCCTTACAGTGGTGTAACATCATTGACTATCGTCGTTAGGAGAAACTTGGAGGTGGTGCTGTCGCGGACATGACTGGTCACCGCATGGCGGCAATAGAGCGACAGATTGGCGGCAATGTCCAGGAAATACTTGACGTGACGACTCTTCTGGCTCTCGGGCAGGGACTCCACATCCTCCTGCTGGAGTATTTGGCGAATGGTGGCCTCGGTCACAGTGAAACGGCCAAAGACCACGATCATCAGCTGCTGCAAGCGATTCAGGCGATTATAGAACTCCAGATCGCGCTCCTGCACGTAGCTATCAGCCATATTGGTGCACAGTTCGGGCGTGGAGGTGCGCGAGAATAGATTCGTGATCGACGCCAGCTGCTGCAGGTGCCCCAGGTCCATCAGGGGCGTGGCCGTGCGCAGCATCGTCTCGACCATGTCCATGTGGGCGAACAGAAAGTTGAGCACCTGGTGGGCGGCCGAATCGTTCTGCGATCCCAGGGAGCTGACAATGCCATCGCAAAGGGCCAGGGCCGGCTGCAGGATGGAATGGAAACGCTTATACGTGTTCGGGAGAAAGCCCTCCGGATCTTTTCGCAACTGGTTGGCTTTCAGGTCCGGCTGCAGGTCGTACACCCGCATATTGGACAGGACGCCCAGGGCTCCTTCGGCGAGCAACATGCGGGCACCCGTCTGCGACAGTCGCGTGAGGAAGGCCAAACGCGCCTCGTACACGTACAACTGCCGCAGATTGTCCGGCACCGGTTGCAGGATCGCGCTCAGGGCATCGTCCGATTCTGCGACGTTGTCCAGCAGGTGCTTCAGGTAGCCGCGCGACACCACAAATTCGGTGAGCGTGCTCACCGCATCCAGTTCAGAGATCATCTCCAGGCAGGCCAGCGCCAGCATGCGGCACACATCGTGTCCGGTCACCGCATCGTGGCAGATCGAATCAATCAGCTTCTCCCCATAGACCCCGATCACCTCCGCGGCCATCTCCTTGAGCCGGTCCTTATCCTCGTGCCGCTGATCGGAGACGGCCTTTTGCGATTTCTCCAGGCGCGAGGCAATGCTGTCGAGAGGAATCCAGAAGAAGCATAATAAAGGGAGCCGTATAATAAAAGGCACGCGAGGGCTTACCTTTCATGAAAGTCCACCTCCTCTTCGGTGCGCAGACGCTTCACGATCCGCAGGCAATTGAGCAAAGCCGTATAGAGATTGATGCGCAGCTTCTGCGACTTGACGCCGCTCACCATGATCCACTCGACGATGCGTTTCAGGATGAAGCGCAGATTGCTCGTGCTGCCCGTCATTGTGCCGCTGAGGTTCGACTGCGAATGGGCGTGCGAATACGAAAGGGAGAGCGGGCCGTTGACCAGGCTGTTGTCGCCGTTTTGGGCGGCGGCCACATCGCTATCATCGCTGGTCCGCTGATCCTCCAGCTGGTAATAGCAGATGCGCAGATTGGCCAGCAGCAGCAGGATCGTTTCGGTGATCTCTATGGAGATCTCGATTAGCGGCTGCACGGGCTCCACCTTCAGCAGCATCTTCTCGATGATATCAATGATGTACTGACGCCTCAGGGCCGGCGGCAGCAGGACCTCGGGCATGCTGCTGAACAGTATCTGCACCAGCTGGCACCACGCCTCCACAAACCTCAGCGTGGCGATGCGCTGTGTCCGCACACGGTTCACCTCGACGGCGTACTGCAGCAGCACGGTGATCTCCCCACTGATGGCCTTGCGCTGGCCCGTGGCAATGGTGCTCTGCACCGTACGCAGCTCTTCGTGCAGGACGTCGTGGAGTTTGCGGATGTTTATCATCAGGTATGGCTCAGAGCCCGAGGCAGTTCCGCTCTTACTGTCGCTGCCTGGACTCTGTCGGGGGCGGGCCTCGCATTCCTTGAGCACCGTTGTCGTCAGCACCGGATCGAAGAACTCCAGCTGCGGCTGGGGCGCTGTGGCATTCACCTCGAGCACCAGACATTCCAGCAAACGATTCGCATGCAGTCCTTGGGTCTTATCGGGCATCGCGGGTATCTTAACGGCCGCCGCGACGGGGCCCACGTCCAGGCCATAGAAGCTGGCGGAGGCTGTGCCACTCAGTATGTCGTTGTTGAGGTCCTGCGGCATGCCGGGATTCGCACGCAGCCCATCCGACTGGCCGCCCAGCAGGAGTATGTCGCACAACAGATTGTAGCGCGTCATCTGGCCATGATTGGCCGCCAGGCGCACCTCGACGGCCACACAATTGAGCAAATGGCTCATGGCGTGCAGCATATGATCCTCGCGGTGGCGGCGAAACGGCATGGCGCTCAGATGGCGCAGCAGGAAGTCATTGCAGGTCAAGCGAAAGAAGCGCAGGATGGTCTCCGAAGTCCGACGATTGGCGCACAGGCCCTGGAACAGCTGATAGACTCTCTCCACCAGATGGGCCGTATAGGGGCAGTATTTCTCCTGGCTGTGCCGTTGGCTCTACTCGAATGGGATTAGAAAGAGAGACAAACATAAGCCCATCGATGTGAAGGAGATAGAGATAGAGAGATAGAGAGGGAGAGGGGGAGTACAAACCTCGAGATACTTTTCCAGGACCAAAACCAAGGAATGCACACAACAGCACTGCATTTCAATGCCGACCTGCTGCTTATCCCTGGCCATAAAGTCCCTGAGGACATCGATGCCCAGCAGAAAGTAAACGAAATTCGGCGGCGCTTGACACAGATTGAGTCCAAAGAGCTCGACCACAGCCTCTTTGATCTGCAGATCAATGCCGACGGGCATCTTCTCATTGAGGGCCACCACTTCGTAGCATGGGCCCAAGGTGGTGTCCCCGTCCTCGGGACCGGTGATGTCCGCCTCCGATTCATCCTCGTCGACGGCCACACTCGGCGGCTGATGCCCTCCGTGGTGGAGCACATCGCCCATGGCCTGATAGTCGTTGAGCACAATCGAATCGAGGAGCTCTTCGTTCTTTTGGGCCAAACGGGCGTCCATTTCCAGGCACTCGACAAACCCCTGGCGCACCTCGAGCTTCTCGTTGCTGCCGAGGGCATACATATTGAGGATCTGTGAGGGGACGTTCGGCAGCATGGTCACCGCGCTCAGTATCTTGATGGCCGCCAGCGAGTGACGCGGCAGCCAATTGTTGTAGGTCACAAACTTAATGATTTTCACCACGTAATCGGGTCGTCGGGTGCGCGGATTGATGTCCAACAGCATCCGGTTCAGTCCCGACAGCAGAATGGGACTATTGGCGGACGAGTGGGCCTCGAAGAAGGCATTCTGTTTGGCCACCGCCACCTCGAGCAGCAGTAGGGCGTACAGGGCGCACTCCTCCAGCTGTTCCTTGCCACGAAAGCGCCTGTACTCGTCCAGCCGCTCGCGGGTATCCTCGATGATGCGCAACAGGAGCTGCAATAGATGCGATTTCACCTGCAGCTGCAGCATCACATGGTAGCCCGGATACGGATGCTCGTCGCGCAATTCCATAAAATCGCTGGCCTTCGGCCGGTACGTGGCCAGCAGATAGAATAAAAGCTTCAATCCCTTTGCGGCCACCTCCCACATTTCGCTGGGGTCCTTGTACGTGCGATTGTAGACCCTGAGGATTATGGAGTCCATCAGGAAATTGAAATACGGATCGTAGCCAGGGTGCCGCGGGCCGGCGCCCAAGCTCCTGGGCATATGGGTGGTCATCAGTGTGTGGAGCAGCTGGAGAACGCCGCGACTCAAATTGTACGACTCGAGACGGCTCTCGTTCTGCTCGATCTCCTCGGCCAGGCTGCACGGGCTCTGTCCGGCCGCTGCCGTCGTCACCACCGTGGGTATTATCTGCGAGTCCTCCAGCTGGAACCAAATGGCACGCGCCGTCTCCTTGGACTTGGCCAAGGCTGCCAGCGTAAACATGATCTCTGCCTTGAGGGCCAGCGGTGTGGCACATGCCACCAGGCCCAGCAGCACCTGTGGCGCCTGCCAGCTGGCCTGATCGCACATCATCACCCGGGACACGCGATCGTGCTCGGCCACCGCGCGCATAATCCCCATCACAGCCACCAGATGCTCCGTTTCGCGCTGAGTTATGTTCCGGGGCTGCAGGGCTCGCCGCATGAAAAGATCGCCATTCGAGGCACTGCCCGGGGCCATAGCGCTGAAGGCATCCGTGCGCATGTTGCTGCAAAGGGAACGAGGCAGAATTAAAAGCACAATCTAAACAGATCTACGCCCTACCCACTCACCTGTAGTAGCTGGCCAATGCCTGAAAGAAGTGGTCCCAGCCCATCGAAAAGCTCGAGGAACCCGACGGCGTGTTCTTGAGCAGATTGAAGGCACTGCGGGCCGACAGCTCGGTGCGCGTGAGGCCCGTGATCATCTTCAGGTACGACTTGAACAGCGTCTGTGGCAGCAGTTCGCTGGCCAAGGATATAAACTTGAATAGGGACACAGCCCGGGTGTTGTTCATGGGATAGAGGCCGGCATTGTTGCCGTTGCCGCTGCCGCTGCCGCCGCCGCCGCCGCCGCCGCTGCCGGCTGATGTGGCCGTGTCGCTGGCCCCCCAATACTCGTTGCACAGGGTGTGGCTGGCCCGTCGATCGCCGTAGAGACGGGACACGCACAGCATTAGCAGCTCGAAGTTTGCGTCCAGATTTGGTGGCGGCTCGAGGCCTTCATTCAGGAAACTAATCACCGTGCGCGCGGACTCGTCCGCCCGGTTGCGCAGCTCGGCCACTTTGGCATGCATGAAATCAATGAAATCGGTGATCAGTAGATGCGCCCGTCGATAAATGAACTCCGTGCTGACAAAAGAGATAGATAGGAGGCCATCAGAGGGGGGTCAAGCCTCAAGCATTGACTCTTACTCACTTGTAAATCATTTCATTCTCCAGCAACTGACGGTATATGAAACCAAGGACATTGGAGGCCAGTGCCTCATCCATTAGCTGCTCATCGCGTGGTATCAGCGCACTGGCGGCCGCCTGCATCTGGCTGGGCGCATGCCGCAGGCTGGCCAGGGCCAGGGCAAAGCTGTACTTGATGATGGCATCGAGGCGCGGCATCTGCCATTTGGCCTGGGCGTACAAGGCCTCGTGGAAGCTCTTGGCAAACTCTGGATCCCACATGATGGGCAACCGGCCCGTGTATGGATTAACCACATCCGAGCTCAGCAGCACGGACGTATCATAGGAGTACAGCAGAGCCATCAGCATAATGACTGTCACATCATCGATATTGCCGCCTGCATTGTCGTTGCATTTGCATGCCGCGAGCATTTTCATCAGACGTATGGCATTGCCGCGGGGCAGGCCACGTTGGGCCGAATAATTGAAGAGGCTCATGGCCACAGCCTTGCGGATGTCCTCGTACAAGGCCAGCACTTGATTCTGATGCTTTGTGGAGCCAAAGGCGCGATTTTTGGTCAGCATAAGGTTCTATCAACAGAGGGGGAAAACTGAATGTTATTAAAGCCCAGTGGTTGTGAGAGAGGGTCCAGTAGATCCTTTACCTCCTTGACCACATCCATTTCGGCGAGTATATCCAGCAGGCGGGACAACAAATTCGATTCCTCCGTCAGATTCTGCACATAATTATTCACCAACGAAAGGAACTGCAGACAAACAAGCGAAAAGAAAACGCCATTAGCTTCTACTTAGAGCTGGCCAGGAGCTAGCGCTCTTCCTACCTCTCTGGGCAGCTCTGTCACCCAGGACACGCCACTCATCGTCTGCATCAGATCGCGCAGGGCACAGGCCATGGCCTTGCGGCCATCATAGTAGAGCAAAACGGCAACCAGGCCACGGGGCAGCCCCGGATGATGCATCTGCTGACGCTGGGCCGTGTACAGCAGCTCCACGGCGATCAGCTCATCCAGATCGAACATGTCCGACAATATGATGGCCTCATCGATCAGATCCTGAGACAGTATCAGCTTGTGGCCCTGGGCGCCCAGTGGTATGCCTTCCGTGAGTCCGGCCCTTATCTGATTTCGGCTTTTCTCATTCTTGGGCTGCAGGGAAACGAAGCACAGAAAAAGTGTCAGTGGCATAGACTATGTGGAGGAGCGGAGCCTTACCGGGTTGCGTAGAAAATTGGTAAAGTTATGTTTGTTCTTCTTGAGGCACTGCTCCAGATCGCCAATGAGATCCTTTGGCTGGGCAATCGCCTGCTGCAGTGTGCCATAAAGATGCTTGCATGGCGTCCACATGTCCTCGGTCATGCCTTTGAAACACGAAAAATACACACAAAATACGTTTAAATATAATGTAGCACAATACATAGGATGTCTCCCTGCACATACCATCCATTTTTAATTAGTTTTCTATTTAATAAACCGAACCAAAACAACAGATAAAATAAAAACGCGGTTTTTGTTGGAATCGGCGGCAGTGTGACTGCCGGTACTTATCGGCATGACCCGCGGTCTTATCGATAACATATAGCCCTCAGAAATATACCAAAATATACCGTCTCATATCGAAAATATACTGACGAATTGTTCGAGTTCCCTCCTTATTCCTCGTCTTTGATATTCCAACGAATATTACTAGCCAGATAGGACCCTCAGCTCTGCCCACATTATATTTGTATGAGTATTAAGTGAGCATGGAATGTCAGTTCATATTTGACATGTTGTTGGTATTTGAAGACTGTTGCTTGTCAACCGGAGTATGTGCATTTGTATACCCTATACTCAAGCTGTTTGAAAACTTTAATTAATAATGACCTTGTCATGGATTGAATTGTATTTGACCTACTCATACATACAATTAATTTCTTGTATATATATCTCGATCGCGATACCTATTCTTGGACTCTGTAAGAAGAGACTGACAAGTTTCTGTACACATTGGAGCCAGATGACAAACATTTCCCCAATTCTATAATATCCTTGTTTCCTAGGGTATACATAATTTTGCCCATTGTTACTGGGACTTGTTCGGATGAAAAATCCCTTCAAGAGCTAGGATTTGCCACCACAAAGTAGAAAGCAAGTGACGCACAGATGTACGATTTTAAAAATTCGGTTTTAGTTTGAATCGGCAGATCTTGCGCCGGTTTGTGTCAATCGACAGAGTGACCAGTGAAAGCTTGCATCGAAATCACTTGATGCACTGCAATGCAGCCCTGGCTTTTGTCAGGCTTTTTGTCTTAGCCAAATGCGGCCACACCCCATACACAACTGCAGTGCCGCGCGGGGCGGGGCGTTTTTCGTGAAAATTTACGCACGAAATTTTCCGTAGTTTTTCCCCCAAAAATAGTACACCATTTGTTTATTTTGTTTTGTTTTTTCTGTTCAATTGCACACACGACTGAAGGATCAAGTTAAATAGTAGAAGTAGTGTACGCGACAGCTTATATGAAAATGCAGTGCAATTGTGTTTAAGGAAATCCCGTTCGCATGGCTGGAAAGTGTTTAACAAAATTATAGCCAAACAAAATGCAGCAGCAGAAGCAGCAACAAACAGGCTGACTAACGCCGCAAAAAGAAGGAATAGAAAAGAAATCACATACTTACGCGTGGAAAAGGGAGTAGGAAAACACACAGGCGGATAAAGAGGAGTAGTACCAGGAAAACACATGCAAGAAGAGTAGCATAGCAGGAGGAAACACTCTGGGAAAACGGAGTAGTAAAAGGAACACACTTCACACATACAAATACTCGTTGGAAAAAAGAGGAGCCCAAGGAGGAAAAGCCAAGAAAGAGGCAACAAAACACAAACGCAACTTGCAATTGGAATTGATATTCGAAATTGGAGTGGGAAGTGGAAAAGGAGTGGGAAGTGCAAGTGTTGTGGGACGTCGGAAAAGGAGTGTAGAATTGAGGAGTGGAGCGAGACGTAGGCAAAGGAGTGTGAGGGGAAGTGTATTGTGCAATTGGGCAACATATCCAACAATAAGAGTGTGTTTGCCAGAGCGAGATAGAGCCAGAGAATTGCATGTGTGTGCGTGTGTGCATGTGTGGGTGTAGTTGTTGTCTCTCCCCAGTGCATAAACTGTGCTCGTGCTCGTGCTGCATTCGGCTTATTCGCCCACGCACTTACCCGAAGCGAAGTGATAGAGATAGAGAGAGGGAGCAAGAGGAAGGCCCAGGAAGAGCGGGTTTGAAGAAACAAGAAACTGCATCAAAAGCGAAATGCAAATCGAGCCGACCAACGGTTAACGCGACTCAAATTTGCTTAAATTACGACGAATAAGTGTAAAACAAAACGAAGAAACCTGCTTCTCCTTTTCAATTGCATTTCTTCAAAAAATTGTGTGCAATATAAAAAAAACTCCAGCGATCGCACAAAAGGCGCACACTGAGAGTCCAGAGCAGAGTAACCAGAGAGTGACAGAGAGAGAGAGAGATAGAGAGCAGTGACAGCAGACAAAGAGAGCACACTCGCTCGCTTTTACAGCTGCAGTGCCCTGCTCGTAGTCCTACATACAATACCACCCGCGCCCCGACCGACCCCACTCCCTTCTTCTGGTAATATGGATTTTGGCGGTCTGGCAGCACAACAACAACTATTACAGCAACATTTACTACAACAACAACAGTTACATCTGCAACAACAGCAACAAAATCTTGAGGAAACAGCAACAATAAGCAATGTAAGTATCGTATCTCTTTCTGTCTCACTTGAACACACGCTCAATGCATATGCGTGCATGAGTGTGCGTGTTATGTCTCTCTTTTCATTTCTTTTATACTTCATAAATCGCTCCCACACACACACACATACGCACGCACAAAAACAACAAGAAAAGCACAATGCATCGGTCTTAATGCTGTTGCTGCGCTGCCCACTACTACTGCCTGCTGTCTTTTGTGCAGTTTATTGGTTTTCTTATTAGATTTCTGTGACGCTGACGTTGGCAGCGACAGCATTTGTGTGTGTGTGGGCGGACTGTGTGGAAAAGGAGTTTTAAAAAAAATTCGAGGGGGGAGGGGGCTGACATAGGTAATTGAAAATATTCCCAGTTTAGTGTTGTAAAAGGTACAGAGATTTTTAGGGAAAAGAAAATGAGTCAACGCTGAACAGTCCAATCAGAATGAAAGAGACGCCGATGATTAATCTCTGGGCCATCTGCGCTGGCTGGTGATGCTGCTCTGCTCTTCTTTGCTGCCAAGAACAAGAAAGTGCCGACACATTAATTGCGGTACTAACTTTTGTGTTTCCCCTCATTACTTTCACCATGCATAAATTCTTAAGAGAGGGGGCGCTGAAGGAGAAAGGCAGAAGAGAAAGAAAGAAATTAAATTGTTTATTCAAGTCCAGCAGCAGAAACATCGCAGTTGTTGCTTCCTTCTTTGTTTCTGCCGCAGCAGCAGCAGCCAGCTAGAGGTCGCTGTCGTCGTCGCTCTTCCTGCGTCTTTCTTTTCGTTTACTTTCTGGCATACCCTTACCGCACTGCGGAGACACTTCGGTACATAAAGTACTCCAAATCGGGTCTCGTTTAATTGATTTATGCCGCGATTTTAGAAAAACTCAGAAAGAGATGTATCGAAAAACGATTTACAGCATTTATTGTAACTTTGTTTATACAAAAATTAAACATTTTAATAGCATATCGACTCAAGGAAATATATTCTATATATCCTAACAGTATAAATTGTGCCTACAGCTTTCTTTTCGCATCTTTAGGGTGTTCACTATTCGCTATCGCCCACCAAAATGGATACTCTTTAGTTTTTGTTTTCTTTTGCCTTTTGCTACGTGACTGCAATAAAATTTAACTGCAATTACGTGCTGCCTGCACACACACACGCACTCACACGCGCATACTTGGTTTTGAGGGATTCCTGAATTCTGAATGCGGCATGCGGCATGCAGCAATGCGCGATGCTGTTCTGTCCAACTGTAGGCTGCTGCCCTCCCAGCAGGACATGCGGCCTGTCCTATGTGCGTGTCTAATTTGTTTAGTTGCGCTGATTGTGCGAAAAAAAAAACAGCCGAAATTCTGCAAAAATTCAAGCCACTGCCTCCTGGGCCTTTTGCCAACCTCTCTAGAGCCCTGGCCAGTCCAGTCCTGTGCAAGGCATATTAAACACTAGGTAGGGCAGTGCGAGAGATGAGCCTCTGAATAAGCTTACAACATAAAAGTTGCATGTTTTGGGATGGACCACAAAAACAGAGTAAACTTAATTTAATATAAATATTCTTTAAAAATTCTTAAGCATTAAACTACTTTGACAAAAATGTGTAAATTAATCGGAAATATACCCTGGAGTGTGTCAAGAAACATTTCCTTCCATTAAATACACCTTGGCCCTGTGTGCAGCCGCCGGACCACTGAGTAGTCTTCCCAATATTTTTTTTTTTTTTTTTTTAGTAATATTCAGCAATGTTACAAAAATAAAGCTGGAATTGAAAAATGTAGCACAAAATGCTAATAAAAATGAATGATATTTTTTTTTAGAGTTCAATTAAATTTGATATACTCGCATTTATTTATTTATGTACGATTAATATGTTTATAAAAATAGAATCTAAATTTTGAGTTAATAATTTGAGCTCTAGTTTAAATACTTCCCAAAAAGCGTAATAAAAAACAAAACAAAAATCCCTTCCCGCTGTGTTTGGATTGGAAAAAAGCTAGATCTTACAGGAAAAAGGCTGAGTTGGCATCACTGCGGCCCAACGAGCCAGCACGTTCGTTCAAAGTGAGCAGCGCTCTCGGATTTACAGTTCGAATTCGGCCGACGCGCGCACAAGACGACAGCAACAGCAGCAGCGGAGAGGCGCAGCAAACGAAAAACGGGACCGCAAAGATAAAAAAAAACTGTGTAAAAAGAGCGCGCGCGGAAATTGAAATTCACAATTATTTGAGTTTATTTTTCGATTTCGGTTTTTATTTTTTTATTTTGCGTTACGTTTTAAGCTCGTTTTGTCTTTTTTTGCTGTGTGTGCTGTTGTTGCGTCGTTTATTAAGTTCCTTGCAACAACATAACTGTTGTGTACATACATACATATTGTATGTGTATATAGAAGTGAAGCATTTATGGGGTAAATGAAGCAATAATTAAAAGTGCCTTTTGTTAATTGAGAAAAGTGGAAGAAGTGGATAAAAGGGAGCAGAGAGCAGAAGCAACAGCGGGACGTAAACGATCGAAGTGGTAAGAGGAATAACAGACACAAATACCACCGTCCAGCTGGCCCACACCATACACCCCCCCTTTGCTGGAAAGCACTGTTTTTTGACGAGAATAAAACGCAAAGCTAGTGCCGGCAGAGACAGCGGCCGAGTGGAGGAGATTTGATTGTTTTTGCTTTTGGCAGTTAATGTTAATGCGTTTTCGGTTCTGTTTTTGCCTCGGGAGTGGTGGGGTGCTGTGCCGCATCTGCATCGACAGAAGTTTATTTGCTTTAATGTTC